TAAGGAGCCCTGGTGGTTGGATGGTTAAGAGCTCAGCTGCTAACCGAAAGGCTGGTGATTTAACCCACCTAGCTGGTCTGTGGGAAAAAGACCTGACAATCTCTTCCCTAAGATTACAGCATAGAAAACCTTATGGGGCAGTTCTACTCTGTCATATGGGGTTGCTAGGAGTCAGAATCGACTTGACTGCACCTAACAACAACAACATCATGATTTTAATAGTGGAAACGTAGTAACTAATTATGTATATGCATAAGTGTGTGCCTACATAATGACCTTTTAACTAATTCTTTGTTGTTGGCTTTTAACTTGTTTCAAGTTTTCTCAGTTAGGAAATACTCTGCTAATGTCCTTTCAGTGGTGTCTATTTTACTTCTTGATTTTTTGGGTTCAGTTCTAGAACCCAACCACTTACATTCTGCCATTTATTAAGATGTTTGACCCAAGGCAAGTTAGAGTCTGTCACATAGTTTTGTTTCTGTCTCAAGTGAGAACAAATCATTTCTGTTAAGATCATAAGGGTAGATCCTAACCTTTCTTTAAAGCCTCTTATTGACTCTTTCATCTGTAGTGGAATGAATTTTTGTTCTGGTTCATCTGAGAAATTATACTTAACTTTGTTGATAGACCACAGTATCTATCACTTGGTTAAAGAAAACCACTTGTTGAATTGTTTTTTCATTTGTATATTTTCTTGGTCACCCACACAAATGTAACATCCACAGTGGATCTCGTATCCTCAGTACCTGTTAAGCAATAACTCCCCATTTTTTCCTTCCCTGAGTCTCTGGTAGCAACTGATAAACTTTGGTCCCTATGCTTTAATCATATATTAAAATTAGGGATATATAACTTGCTGGAAATTATCTTATATGGACCCAGCCATACCCTATGCCTCTTGCCTCCCCTCGTATTGTCTGAAAATAAGAACCCTGCCCCCCCAACACACTGTGGACCCTTGGAGAAATGTGTGTTTCATGTTAGCTACCATTGATATACCAGGATTTGTCCCCAGAGGGAGTGTGTGTGCTTGTGTCCTGCTGAGAGGACTTTGTAAAGGGGCATAATGTTGATGAGCTACCGGAACCTGGTCTGCCTGGGTGAGTTAGAAGTCAGAACCTGCCCCGGCTTGGCTTTGCATTTTCCATTGTGAGTCTCTTAAGAGCCCCTGCCTTTCTAGCCTGAGTTTCCCTTCCCTTCTTTATGGGAATCTTTGAAGCTTTGTTGATTCAGAACTGAAGATCTTCATAGTATAGCATCTGGACTTTGACCTTTCTGTTTCTTCAAATGATCTGCCCTGAGCTGATGGTGGTACCAGAACTTAAGCGTGCATAAAACCTGTGGCCAGCATTTCAAACATCCAGTGTCCTGGTTACTCCCCTGTGCTTTTGATTTAGTAGCTCATAGACGACTACTTAGAGATCTGCAACTTTAGAGTGATTCCCTAAGAGTTTAGAAGGAACAGGTCAGTGGCTCCTTAAAAAAAAAAAAAATGCTGTGTTAAAATATATATAATAAAATTTTGTCATTTTCACCATTTTTAAGTGTACAGTTCAGTGACATTAAATACGTTAACAATGTTGTGCAACTGTCTCCACCATTAGATTCCGAAAGTTTTTCATCATTCCAAACAGAAAGTCAGCACCTGTTAAGTTGTAACTCCCGGTTCCCTCCTCCCTGAGTCCCTGGTAGCCACTAACAAAGTTCAGTCTCTATGCTTTTCCCTCTTCTACTTATTTCATGTATGTTATATATTTGTCCTATTGTGTCTCGCTGATTTCATTTAGCATAATGTCTTCAGGGTTCATCCATGCTGAAGCATGAACAGAATTTCTCTTTCATGTTATGTGTTTTCTTTAATCCATTTATCTCTTGATGGACACTTGAGTTGTTACCACCTTTCTTTTGGCGATTGTGAACAATCTTGTAATGAACATTGGTATGCAAGTATCCTTTTGAATCCCTGCTTTCACATCGTTTGATTGGGTTCAAACTGCCAGTGTAGGAGTGGAATGTCTGGGTCATATGGTAATTCACTGTTTAACTTTTTGAGGAGCTGCCAAACTGTTTTCCACAGTGGTTGTGCTATTTTACATTCTCACCCACAGTGCGTGAAGGTTCCAGTTTCTCTACATCCTCACCAACACTTGTTCTTTTTCAGTTTTTGATGTAGCCATCCTAGTGTGTGTGAAGTGGTATCTCATGTGGTTTTGATTTTCATTTCCCTAGTGCCTAGATGACCCTGAGCGTCTTTTAATATGCTTGTTGGGCGTTTGGTGAACTTTTTTGGAGAAGTGTCTGTTTAAGTCCCTTGACCATTTAAAAAAAAAATGGAAGTAAATCGCCAAGCCTTTCTTCCTAGTTTGTCTTAGAGTAGAGGCTGCCCTGAAACCTGTTCAGCATCATAGCAACATGCAAGTCTCCACTGACAGACGGGTGGTGGCTGCACATGAGGTGTATTGGTCTAGAATTGAAGGCAGGTTTTCCATGTGAAGGTTACGAGTTCTACCTCTGAACAATCAGTGTCCCCATTTTCCGTCATAATCCCACTGCCAAGGAGTCGATTCCAACTCATAGTGACCCTATATGACAGAGTAGAACTGCCCCATAGGGTTTCCAGTGCTGTAAGTCTTTATTTTCTCCAGGGGAGCAGCTGGTGGGTGGGAACCACTGACTTTCTGGTTAGCAGCCGAGCACTTTAACCTTTGCACCATCAGGGCTTCTCCATTATAATAAGGGTGGCTATTTGACACACAGCTTAGCAATAATATAGACAAAATCATTGGTTCTGATTCTTTCCAATGTAGACAATGCAAACCTAAGAAAGATAAAATGAACTTTTCTCTTCAGTCTTATTCTTTATCATGCCGCAACCAGCTACCACAGTGAGAATGCGGGGGTGTGATGATGGAGGCAGAGCAGGCAGGAATGAGGAGCCTGGGTCACTGATTACAGAGCGCCTGTCACATCCTGCACTGTAACGTCTGGACTTCTTGTTATAGGAGGAGACAAAATGATAAAAGTCATACTTGTTTTGCTTTTCTGGGGTCACTGGGGTGGCATCTACCTTAGATGATAAGCCTTGCACGGGCTGGAGGCTGGGAGAAGGAATCAGGGCCTGGCTGGAACACTGAAGCCAGTCGAGGGTTGGGGGGTCGCGGACAGGGTTGGTGGGTGGGCTGGAACAGGGCATCTGTGATAGAATGTTCCTTCCTTCAGTTACAGGCTTCAGAGCAGTGAGTGGATGTGGATACCACAGGGGTCTTGTGACAATGTGGATTTTTATCTTGGATTGGGCTTGAGATTCTCTATATCAAGAAGATCACAGTTTATGCTGAAAATAACTGTTGTAGAAATAGGATGTGAGTTAAAACCAGAGAATGCTGTTAGAGAAATTGACAACAGAATGGATAATGCTTAAAGAGCAGCCACTGGTATACAGATCATGTGAGAGTGAAGAGAGAGAGAAAACGTCTACACAGAGACCAAGAAATAAAACAGTAGGTGTCAGCTGGGTGGGGTGGAGGGGAGGAAAGAACCGGGAACAGACGTCGGGGGGCTGCTTCTTAGAGAAAACTGAATGATTTTCTGATTTACTGGTTGGTCGATTATTGTAAGGTTGAAACAGAATATTTCCAGAATTCTGGAAAAACTGGTGATGTCATGGATAGAGAATGAAAAAAAAATTAAAAACTCAAGGGGAGAAAAGAAAGGTTAGTTGCAAAATCAACAGGAAAAATACTGATCACATATTGCTATGGTATAAATGAAATCAAAGTTTTAAAACAGCACAACAGAAGAGTTTCAGCTGCACAGAATTATAAATCAGTGATGCATGATGAGTTCATTGACTTGAACCTGAAAAATATCTTCTGAAAATTCACTAACGTTGATATCAAAGTGTGTGAATTGTTCTACAAAGGTGAACCCTTAACTTCATAGGTGAACCCTCAACCTAACCTTTGGACTCCTGACACCAAGAGGAAGCCAGGTTCATGTGTGCCGGCCTGGGCAGGCCTGGATGCCTCTCATGCTGTGGGATGAGGAAGCCCCTCTTTCTGTGACATTGTGGCCAGAGGAAGAGGGCTGTGAATCTGCATGAAAAATGAAAGTGTGGTCTGGAAGGCTGGAGCAGGATCTGCCTTAAGTGCAGACGCCCTCAGAGTGGAGCATGGCCTTGAGCCTGGGGGAAGCCCTGTCCGGGAAAAGAGGTGAAGACCAAGAACCTGTCACTTCCTCCTTGCTCACCACTGTCTCCTTCTATTTCAGGTCCGAGATATGGTGCAGGGAGAGATAGTCCAGCCTAGGCACTGGGGACCAAAGGCAACCTTACGCATCCATGCAATCAGAAGTAAGGATTTTTACTGCTCTGACTGGTGTGTGGACCAAACGTCGTTTATCTGCCTCCAAACTTCCTAGTAGCTCTGCTTCCCCTGCCATCCCTTTTCCTGAAGTGGTTTCCTGGGCTTAGGGAGCACATTCATATAGACTTCCAGAAGCTGGAGCCAGGAAATGGTGCGTACTGCAGAGAACTGGGGAACTGTTACTCTAAGGGGGAGGCTAGATATGGGGACCGTGCACTCTGGACCTTGAGGTTTCTCTGTGAGGTAAAAAGGTGGCAGATGAGACTAAGGGACTGAGCCATACGAGGCATTCTGAGGCCCTGCTCTGCTGTCACTGGATCTTTCCTCTACACATATGTTGATTTTCAAGCCCTGGATGCCTGGGGCCAGCTTCCTTCTGTGACTCCAACACATCACGGGACGTTAACATCCCCATCCTGGGACTTGGTTCTTTGTGTTGAATGACAGAACCTCCTGAGCAGAGTCTGAACATGGAGCAGCTCTGGCTGAGGAGACCGAGCCCCAGATTCTCCAGAGCCGTCCTTGTCCCATTCATGCACGCAGTTTTCTTGGCTTCCTGGTGGCACTGGAGCCTTTTCTGTGCAGTTCTATAACCGCAGCTCCCCTGTCACACTGTGTGATGTGGTGGAAAACGGGGAGAGAGTTGGTAGCTGAAGGCCCTGACTGTTAATGGGGTCCCGGGTGGCGCTTGGTCCTCATGAAGTCACCAGTGAAATGAGACAGAGGACAGTGAGTCCAGCTGGATCATGTGTGGGGTCGCCAGATCCATCGTTTTTGGAGGGATACTCTTTCTTTGAGGCTTTCCGGTGTGTGGGAAGCATGTTTACCCGGTCTAAGTTTTTGTTCTCCCAGTGCCTAGAGCTGGTAGTGAGTCCCTGTAATTTTCAACTGTTCTCCACAGTCTCGAATGGGAATCTAAAATTGTTCTGGATAAGCTCAACGTATGAGATGGTGTATTTAACTTCTTGGGTTTACAGTTTCCACTGGAAGAAAATTTCGAGATCAGTTAGTGTTTCTACTGAGAATTTTTCAATTTAATGGATATAAACTTCTCAAACACAGAGGAATGCCTATTTTAACTGGTGGTAAGAGTAAAAATTCAAAAGTAAAACACGTTTCTTCTACTTTCTTAACAAAAGGTGGCGGGATTTACACTTCCTTTTTCGTTAACACATTTTCTTGTGGTTTTTATAACAATAGGTAGAGAGCTTAAATCTAATTTCTTGTAAAACTCTATAATGCTGTATACGGTTAATCTTTGTTTATTGTTTTTGACCATACTGCTATGAATGGGCACCTGATTGTGTCCAGCATTTTACTCTTAGAAAGCTTGCTCTAGTGAATATAAATGTAAATTTCTAAGATCCACTTATCAAACGTTGAGACATTTAAGCCCGTGTGAACTAAGACAAGTTAAATGAAGATGAAGGAGTTTTCACGACTTTGTAAAATTATTACATGAAAATTACATTTCTTTCATGTTTTAAGCCATTGCTTTAAGCTTTTATTGTCAACTATGTCATAAACAAGAACAGTGCATAAAGTGTTCGTTGTGTAGTTTAATAGGAATCTAAGTCCCTGACAATAAATAGACCTTGTCATTTTTACGGCCTCCCAGTGTGTTCCACCCTGATGTCATCTACCTCCTGCCTGGAAATTATTGCTATCTGCATTTGAGCAGTTTATTATTATTACAATTATTATATGTTATTATTGCTTTGACTCCCAAGTCTTTTTTTTTTTTTTAATATTTTATTGTTATTTTAAATGAAGGTTTACACAGTAATTTGGGTTCCCATTCAGCGATTTCTACACAAGTTGTTCAGTGATGTTGGTTGCATTATTCACAATTTGTGAACATTCTCAGTATTTCTGTTCCGGTTGTTCCCTTTCCATCAGTCTAGTTTCCCTGCCCCTTATATTCTTATCTTTGCTTTAAAATCATTGTTTACCATTTGTTCTCATATAGCTGAGGTTTTAATGGAGCATAGTACTCATAGGTGGTACTCTATTATGTGAGCCAATGTATTATTTAGCTAAAAGGTGACCTCAGGGGCTTGTTTCGGTTCAAGGTTTAAAGAGTATCTCAGGACAATATTGGAGAATCCTCTCATCTCAGCCTGTCTAGTAAGTCTGTTTTATTTTTGTTGTTGTTTAGCTTTTTTCTAGGTATTTGAGATTCTGTTCCACATTTTTCTCCCATTCTATCAGGGTCCATCTATTGTAACCTTGATCAGAAGGATCGGTAGTGGTAGCTAGGTACTATCTCATCTAGTTCATCTGTTCTCAGGGTAAATGAGGCTGTGGTTCATGTAAACTATTTGTCCTGTAGACTAATTTTTTCTTTGAGTCTTTGGTTTCCTTCGCTCTCTTTTGCTGCAGAGGAGTAGAGAACAATAGCTGTGTCTTAGATGGCTGCTAACTAGCTGTTAAGACCCCAGTCACTTCTCACCAAACTAGGATATAGAACATAAACTTTGTGAACTATATTATGCCAGTTGACTGATATATCCCACAACACTATGATCCTAATGCTTGAAACCCAGGAAACCAATCCCTCGGGATGTTTGGCTATATCTAAAGAAGTATCGCTGAATGTGATACCCAAGTCTTAATCCATAATGTCTACGTTGTTTAGTTTTACCTCTTGAGCTTTCTGTAAATTTAATTACACGTGTTTTTGGGTTCTTCTGTGACTTGCTTTCCTCAGAATGCTTTTGAGTTTAATACATCCCCCTGTTTGTAAGTCTAGTCTACCTATCTTGGTATGTATGCAAGCTACCGTTGTATGAATGGGCCAGAATTTACCTACCCATTGTAGAGCTTACAGGACTCATGTGGTTCAAGTGTAACTCTTGCTCCTGTGAATATTGTTGCTTTTATTCTCTTTTCTTTTCAAACTCTTAAGTGTTCTTGCACAAGTGAGGGGAAATCTCTGGGTTGTCTATCATAGCCAAGTTGAAATTTTCTCAAAGAGCCGATGTATTTTACAGATTTTCCCTCCCACAAAATATGCATATTTATCTTATTTTTTCCATCTAATTATTGGAGCCCTGGTGGTGCAGTGGTTAAGAACTCTACTGGTAGCCAACAGGTCAGCAGTTCAAAACTACCAGCCACTCCTTGGAAGCCCTATGTGGCAGTTCTACTCTGTCCTGTAGGGTCATTATGAGTTGGAATCGACTCAACGGCAATGATTTTTTTGTTTTTTGTTTTTAATCTAATGAAGTAATCTTTGCTCTTATAATCAGTATCTAAAACGATATCTTACTTGACAGTTCAAGTACGTTACACTACTTCACTACTGAAAAGACTGTGCATATTTCCCACTGTTAGTCTATATCTGTGACTTTTGAGGGTGACACAGTGGTTAAGAGCTCAGCTGCCAACCAAAAGTTCAGCAGTTTGAATCCACCATCTGCTCCTTGGAAACCCTATGGGGCATTTCTACTCTATCTTATAGGGTTGCTATGAGTTGGAATTGACTTGATGGCAGTCAGTGATTTGGAGGTTTTTTGTTTAATAAACTTTGGAAATTTTCCCCGTAGTATGTAACTTACCTGCTCACTCATTTTTGCTGCCCTTTGATGAATTGTTGTAAATTTTAATATGGTTGAATTTGTCAGTCTCTTCCCTTATGCCTTAATTTTCTTACTTAAGATTTTTTTCTCTATTCTGATGTCATAAGATCACTTGCTTATAACTTCTGAAAGTGTTATAATTTTATATTCTCATAATTAAAACTGACTTTCCTGGAATTGATTTTTGCATATGTAGTACATAGGAATTGATTATTCCAATTAGTTAATTACTTGATGAAAACCCAATGTTCTCTTTCTACTTGATTCTGACTTATGGCGACCCCATGTGTTTCAGAGTGGAATTGCACTCCATAGGATTTTCAATGGCTAATTTATGGGAAGTAGACCATCAGACCTTTCTTTTAACCTCCAGCCTTTTGCTTAGTATCTGAGCAATTAATTGTTTGCACAGCCCAGGATCTCCAGTTAGTTGATTCTCCCCCACATATTAAATTGTGAGCGCTTTCTCCCATTGCCCTGCAGAGCTTGCTGTGTCCACTTTCTATAGATCTTGATGGGCCGTTTCTGGGGTTTTTATTTATTTGTATGTGTTCATCTATTATGTATTCCTATAATGGTACGATTTTCTCTAATACACTATAGTTCCGTTTGTAAAATAAATGTATAGAAATACAGTTATGTATATAATACACGTGGACAAGCCCAGGCCTTGTGCCTTGGAATATCTTGGGTATTTGTGGACACTTACAATTACATATACATTTGTAAAGAATTTTTGTGAGGTCCAAAAACATATAATTGGTTGGAATTTTAAGGAAGTGCATTGGAAATAATGATCTCTTTGTGGAGAACAGTTGTCTAAGAGCATGCACTCTTTTTTCATTTATTTCAGTCTATTTGTGTGTTGTTTAATTTTTTTCATAGGATCTGTTATTAACTATACTCCTTGATACATTTTATTCTGACTAAAAATATATGAATCTTTTTAAATTAATTTCTCAACTGTTTGTTGCTAGCGTATATAAATGAAATATTTAAAATAATCCTTACCTTGATATTTATTTTGTAATCCGAATGCTCTTAGCACTATAATCATCTGTACCATACTTGGGGGTTCTAAATATACAGTTATTTAACCTGAAAATAGAGTTTAGGGTGTTTTTTCTTTTTAACGTTCATACTACTTCACTTTCTTTCCTTTTTCTTTTTTGGTATGTATTGGCTACAACCTCTACGATAACATTGAATAGGAATGATATAATGGATGTCCTTGTTTTTTATCTAATTTTGTTAGAAAAGTGTTGACGTTTTTAGCACGTATATTCTTTAATGTACGTTTTTGTGTATGCCCATTTTCATCATTTCGTATCTGATTTTGGCCAGAACCCTCTGACGTATCGCTCAGGTTTTTCAGTTTCCCCCACACACAGGTTCTTTAAATTCTTTAAGAGCTGTCATATCATTTTCCGTCTCTGATCAGAGGTGTAAAATTGCTCTACATTTCACTCAGATGAGAAGCCGGGGTCTTTTCAGAAGCAACCACGTTCCCCACAACACGATATGCCCACTGGCTGCTGTCACCTCTCCAAATTCCTCTACTGTTACTCTCCAGCATCTCACCCTGGTCTGGTCATGCTGCGGTTTGGGTCTCCCTAAAACATACCAGGCACACTCCTACCTGCTGGCCTGTGCTCTGGCGTTTTCTTCTCCTGGAACAGCCTATTCTCAGCTGTCCCTTCGGTAATTCCTTTGCATCTTTCAAGTCTTAGCTCTGATCATTGTTTTCAGTGAATTCAGTTATTTAGGCTTTTGAGGTCTCAGGGCAAATGACTGCCCCCCAGACTGGAGAGACACATAGGCACTCTGTTCCTGGGCTTCTACTCTGAAATGATTTTCTCTATGTGCCTATATATCCCTCCAATTTGGGGGCAGTCCTTTTTCTATGTCCTGAAACTCTTGGTTTCGTATGTTCAGCTTTTTTCTTGAGGATGGGAGTGATAACTTCCAAGGTCTTATCAGACCAAAACCTGAAAGTCTTCGTTGGTGTTTTGTATCATTACTATTATCTGTTTTCTTTTACTTTCTTGATAGTATTTATTCATGCTGCTTTTATTCTTCCAGTGACCCAGTTTACCTTTTGCTAATGATTTTTTCGTTTTGTGAATAACCAGTGTATCTTCCCTTTCCAACCCATGAAGGTCAGTGGCACTCTTTCACTGCTATACTGCTACAATGGAAGTTGTTAAAGTCGCTGAGTATCTGAAATATACATGAGTGTTTGCAGAATCATCACAGAGTACTTCAACCTTTTAGAATTAAAAATGTATTTATTTTTCCTTACCAAGCCAGGTTTCACTAGGTTGTGTTTCCTAAAATGATTATTTTGCTTTTCCTTGCACTGATTCACTAAAGATAAATATGCTTCTCTTAGTCCTTATCCCCTGACCGTGCTGCATTTTTCATAGAACTTATCACGACATGACGTTATATTGTTGTTAGTTTCTCCTTTTGTTATCTAGTGTTGTTATAACAGAAGTACAAGTGGGTGGTTTTAACAAACAGAAGTTTATTCTTTTCACGGTTTAGGAGGCTAGAAGTCTGAATTGAGAGCACAAGCTCCAGCCGAAGGCTTTCTGTCTCTGTGGACTCTGGGGGAAGGTCCTTGTCCTCAGTCTTACCCTGGTCTAGGAGCTTATCAGTGTAGGTACCCTGGGTCCAAAGGAGGCGCTCTGCTCCTAGCTCTTCTTGTCTTGTGGCAGGAGGTCCCTTCGCTGCCCCCAGCTTGCTCTCTTTTATATCTTAAAAGAGATTGAGTGAAGATACAACCTAGTCCTGTAGATTCCGTCCTGCTTCATTAAGATAACTGCCTTTAATCCTATCATTAACATCTTAGGGGTTAGGATTTATAACACATAGGTAGTTACATCAGATCACAAAATGGAGGACAACCACACCATACTAGGAATCCCAGTCTAGCCAAATTGACACACATTTTTTTGGAGACACAATTCCATCTGTAACTGTTGCTGTGTAGTCGATTCTGACTCATAGTGACCCCATGTGTGCAGAGCTCCATAGGATTTTCAAGGCTCTGGTCTGTCAGAGCAGATTGCCAGACCTGTCTTCCAAGGAACCTTTGAGTGGCTTTCAACCACCAGCCTTTTGACTAGCAGTCAAACGTTTACTAGCGCCACCCAGGGAACTTGACATTATATTTTGCGTACTTATTCCCCATACCCGAGGAAGTTACAGTCCATGTGTATCTGGATATTTCTGGTTTGTTCAGTGCTGTGTCTGCTTTGCCTGTGTGAAGTAGGCTCTGTGTCAATATTACCTAAATAGTTTTAATAAACGACAGAGCCTGATGTAAGGATGTGGTGCAGTGAATTACTTAATATGGCCCTTCTAACCATAGTCCTTGTAACTCCAACCAAATGACTGGATAGGGCCGTGCTAATAAGGTATATGGAACCCTAATGACGGGATTGGTCAGCTTGGCCATCCTGCTACACTTAAAATGAGCCATACCAGAGGTGCAAAGAGAGGATGTCACCACCACCAAAGAAGTAGAAGCAGGAGTGGAGCGTGTCCTTTAGACCTGGGATCCCTGTGCTGAGACTCTCCTAGACTTAGGAGACAGAAAGACTAACACCAAAGACAGTAAGATGGAGAGAAGGAGCAGCAGAGGAATGACAACAGCAGAGGCAGCAAAATCAATAGACTGGCAGGAGACCAGCAAGAGACGTTATGGTGGGCTTTCTAGCCCACAGAGCGAGGCAGCTGAGTGCCTCTGGGCAGGAAGCTTCCAGGCAGAGTAGAGTGCCTCCGAGCACTTGGTGGAGCTAGGTTTGCTGACCCAGAAAGCTAGAGCTGAGTGCCTTCAGGCCTAGGCTTTCTGGCAGACTGGGGTAGCTGAGGTCACTCACTGGAAGAGCTAAAAGAGCTTTGTAACACTTGCCCGAGCAGGGCAGAGCAGAGAGGTGGGCTGGCACGCACAGCTGAGAAGCCTGTCGTGATTTAAGAACTGTATCCTGAGTCTTCCTGAGCCTGAATTGTAACCAGTTGCTTCCCTAATAACCCCTATAATCATGAGTATCTTCTGAGTTCTGTGTGGCCATTTCAGTGAATTACCAGACTTAGAAGAGAAGTAGAGGGTGCCTTGGGAGGGATGGTTGGTACCAGAATTTGTAAAGATGGCGGTCAGAGGGGGCATATCTGACCTCCACCTCATAGGAATCAGCCTTGGGCTGTTCTTGATTCTCATTCCCCCTTGTGATGTTATAGGAGAACAGATGCTGCTTCTGGTGCACCATATTACAAAGGGCCTGAAGGGAAGTAGTCTTGCCTGAGACACTGGGCTTTGCCAGGAGAAGGAAATACAGGTTTTCTGAATTGCATAGGATGTTTCCTTTGTCTCCTGTCCCCACTACCCTGTAGGCTCTAGATCATCCATGTAATTGAGGATTAACAGCCAGAATAACAAGAAAACTGTAGGCATATGCACAGTAATGTAGTTGTCAGGAATTAAGCCTTCGCATATTGGTCTGCATTCTGACCATGAGTCAGCAGCATACCATTTGGTTAACATTGAGCAAGTGATTAATTGTAACTTTCCGTGGTATAACTCATTTGAAGCAGTATCTGTTTAGGAGAGGCATGAGGAATAATGAACTACTGTGCTGAAAGGTTTTTGCAAATCCCTTTAAATATTGTGGTTTCTCCATAAATGCAAGATTTTATCATGAGTATGTCCTAGGAATGGAAATTAGGGTTTTTGATGATTTTAAAATATGTAACTTGCTGCACGACAGTGGAGGAGACTTTTGAATATGGCACTGGATCAAAGATTGCTGTGACACTATCATACCAGGATTGATTAGGAGTGACCTTGACAGCTCACTTCACCCCATAAACTATCTGTTCTACACTTGCTCAGCTGTTCAGTAAAACTGTAATATCAGAAGTGTCATGTAGCTGCCTTTTGTGTTCTCACTGCATGTGGGGAGCTAAATGGTTGATAGTATTTCACAGAGGCTAGTCCGGCAGCGCAGATCATGCCAGTGGTCAGGTTTCAGGTGGTTATGCTCATGTGCCTTCCAAGAGCTGCAAATGTGAGAAAATTTTGGAGTGGAGTGTCCACAGGGATGGGGTGTAAGTCTGTTTCATAGAATGCAGAAGTAGTGTAACAGCTAAATGCTCTGCACATCAATGAACTTAGTAGAAAATGTGGATCTTAGCCTCTTGTTCGTGGTCAGCAAATACAAGGGCATGCTATTTGGATTCTCCAAAAATTGGGCTTTTTGTCATCTTATGACATTATTGTGTGTTTATGTGGGTGTCTGGGTTTGTGTTTGTTGAAGGGAGAGTCACTCATAGTTGCTGTACAGTAGCTTTGGGTCTCAAAGTTTGAAAATTGTGATGATATCTAAATTCTCTTGTTTCCTGTGTCTCAGTTGATCTCTGTTTACCTTTGCAATACCCTTGCCTGTCTCCATGAGGGGACAGAGGGCATGACAATGCCTCTGTAGACTTATTGAAAAGTAGGTGAGAGACATATAAAAATTTGCAATTCTTCAAAATAATTTCATTTCAACAGATAGTCCTGTCAGCCCCTGATCACCTGGAGTTCTTTAAGAAAATACAAAAAGCTCAGCGCCTTGGGTTGGGTTGCCCCTTTGTGCAGGCCACTGGGTCCCCCATGGCTTGTGAGGGGCAAAAGGAAAAACTGCCAGTCCTGTAGTGTTTCCCAGTTAACATTTCATCCTACTTTCACCCTGTGTTTTATGTTTTGTTAAATATTCTGCCGGGTCCTGTGTATGGAGGTGATTTTTTTTTCCCACGAGAAAGACATGACCCGAGTGTGGAAATAGGGCTTTCAATGTAGAGGATTTCTCCAGTCGAGGCTATGTGTTCTGATTGTTCTAGACCATAAAGGTAGAGAGGAGTGAGACTACAACTGGTCACAGTCAGATTGTGGAGAGATAAGTTCATTGCCTTGGAAAGATTGGTAATTCTGTTAGATAGGATGCAGTCCACGAGGAAGTGAAATAGTGAAGGGATGAATCTGATGGCTAACCCCTAGAGTAGACCTTAGTAGAACACAAAACTTGTGTCAAATCCCCATGAAATCTCAGTTCCCAAGTACTGTCAGCCTCACCTATCCTTTCAGACACACTGGAATATGTGGTACCTTGCTGAAGCAGAATATGTGGGAATTTTTAGGACTCAGTGGCTGTTGAGGATGTGGCTGTGGACTTTACTCAGGAAGAGTGGGCATTGCTGGATCTTTCTCAGAGGCAACTCTACAGAGACGTGATGATGGAAATCTTCAGAAGCCTGGCCTCAGTAGGTATGGATAAAAAAAAAATCCCAAATCCATTACCGTTGAGTTGATTCCCATCATAGGGACGGATAGGATAGAGTAGAACTGCTCCATAGGGTTTCCAAGGAGTGCCTGGTGGATTTAAACTCCAACCTTTTGGTTAGCAGCCATAGTTCTTCATTGTTTGATTTTTAAAAATTTTTTTGTGGTCAGATATGTCATTCCGATTGATGTTACTCCACTCTGTGGGCCGAGGAATGGGAAAACATTGTTAAATAAGACAAGTGTGGTTATTTGCTCTCTGGAACATGCATATATTGGTTTCCCATAAATACAGAGCTCTGTGCATTAAACTGACTTCTCATTTCGATTGTGGTTAAAAGCCTTAAGGCTCTTTAAATGTTGTAAATCTGAGTGTTGACTTCAGGGGTTTCTTTGGTGCACAGAGAGAATATTTATGCACAATGAAAAGAGTCTTACTTTATTACAAATTTGACATGATTATCTTGCTACAAATGAATTCACACCTGCCAATCCCCAGAGAGACCTGAGAACCAGAGTATTGGCTCAGTTTCAGGGAAGTGTTCATTGCTCCTCCCTGTCTTCCCTAATAGTATGCCTTTCTCCATGAATCCCATGTTAGCTACACCCCTTTGTTCTCCCAGAGTAGAAAGAGAAAGACCTGAGGAGAGTGCCGATAGCACTTGTGCAGGACCTCTGTGTCAGGGGCACCAGGAGGCAAGAATTGTTTGAAGGGCTGGGCCTGCATGGAGGGAATGAGATTTGAAAAAATAGAAAAAGTCTCTTTTTGGTTTAGGAGTATGTGCTTCACAGATACCTGAGCTTGCTTTTCTGACTTTCTTCAATCCTAACACACGTGGTTCATGGAGAAAGGCTGTCCCCTTTTCCTCTGTTAGTATTTCATGTGCATTATGTCCAATACTTTTCTACTTTGCTCTTTTAATTACACCCTATTTATGTCTCTATCACTTTCATTCTTCATGGAAGTATTTCCTAGTAAATTGCTTTCTCCACATTGCCAAAGTATGAAAACAGCAAAACGCGTCAGAAGTTTTCTTTGTTCACAGCTACCTTTTCTCTCTGAGTATTTTCTCTCCTTTTTGTTTTATGTTGTGAACCTCACATTAAATAATTGGGTCAGCTTCTCAAAACCATATTGATGGAGAAAACCTATCCACTGAAAATATAATAGTACGATTCATGAAAAATGACACCTGGTCCTCGATGGTAGGAGAAATCCGTGAATTGCATGGCACTGAAGATCAGGATAACAACCAGAAAACACAAGTGAGGTGAGTGTCATTTACACGAGAGAGCAGTGCTTCAGGAGAGCATCTTGAGAAGGTATAATGACATTAAAATATTTATATACCTACGGAGCCCAGGTGGGACAAATGGTTAAGCACTCGATCTCTAACCAAAAGATTGGCAATTGAATCCTATCCACGGGCTCTGTGGCAAAAACACCTGGCAATCTGCTTCCGTAATAGTTACATTCAAGAAAACCCTATGGGGCAGTTCTCCTCTGTCGTATGGGGTTACTGTGAGCTGGAATTAACAGCACTTAACAACAACAAATATGCATACTCACACATACATATGCGTGTACAAACACACACATATATGTATAAATCCATTGCTGTCGAGTATTGTGATTCATAGTGACTCTAGGATAGTGTAGAATTGCTGCATAGGGTTTCCAAGGTTGTAATCTTTAAAGAAGGGGATTACCGCATCTTTCTTCCACATAGTTGCTGTTGGGTTCAAACTGCCGACGTTTTGGTTAGTAGCCAAGTGCTTAACCACTGCACCAGCAGGGTTCCTGGGTCTTTATGCATATATATGTATGTATGTATGCATGTGTGTATGCATGCATGGATATATGTGTACACACACACAGACTCCTCAGTTTTGACATGGTTAGGTTCAAAAGATCAGATAGTTTTGCGAAAATCAGTGTTATGTGAAAATGAACATTTTTTTTGTTTGTTTTCAGACCATCCGTTTGTCCAGTTTTTTTATTTACAAAATATGATCGTAGACATAATAGCTAAGGTTTACTGATGTATTCATTACTGTAATGAGTCATTTATGAGTTATTCCTCTATGAGGAAGAACGCTTGGAGGAGACAAAGATGGGTAAAGCCGGGCTGTGTGACTGGAGGGCCCATGGCTTAACCACTTCACCTTCCTGTGCTGGGTCAGATCTCCCTTTGTGGCACCACCTGCAGGGCTCCAGTCCCACCCCTACAAGCCCTGCATTCCAGATCCCAGAGCCTACTCTGCTCGCCACGCCTGGTGAGTAACCAAGGCTCGGGGCTTTTGCAAGGGAACTGTGAGCCTGGCTATGCAACCAGCCCCACTGAGGTGGAGGCTTTAGGCGCAGTTCACCTCACTTTGAGATGTCATTAAATTCTCAAGCTTTTCTTCCAAACACCCTCTCTGTTGCACTTTATTTCCTACCTTTCCACCCCACAGCAATTTTGAGTTGCAGGGCCTGAGGTCATATACAAGATAGGAACCTAGAAGAGGTGCCTGCTGAATGAGCACTGCCTGTGCATCTACCTAGAGGCTGTAGCCACAGAGGAGCCCGGCCCTGCCCAGGGGCTAGATGTGGCAACCGTGTCAGCAGGAGGGACTGGAGGGTGTGGGGTAGTGCTTCCCAGCTTCTCTGAGACCACTCTGAAATCCTTCTCATTAATGTGCAAAATAATCAGTAGATGTTTTCTATTGTTGCAAATGCAAAATGTCAGATAATGAGATAGTAAGGAGTAGGGATGTCTCTGTGTGTGTGTGTCTGTGTGCGCACATCTCAAACCTGTTGGCGTCTTGTCTGTTCCGACTCTTGGCAGTGCCTCTGGGTGGGTTTTAAGTACCAGCCTTTTGGTCACGTGGTCACTAAGCTGGCATCAACAGCGCTTAACAAGAACAATTATACGTATACACACACACACACACACACACAGAGACACATATATGGCAGTACAAACTTGGACCATCCGGTTATACGTATATATAAAACCTGCTCTAATGTGTGTTTACAGAATTTCCACAGGACAGTGTTTTCATAAATGCAAGTGAGATATTTAATATTTGAAACATTTCACTTAAATACAATTGCTAGAGAGCACAATATTTTAGAAACGCTATAAACGGTAGCATTTCTGCTAGATGATTTAATCTATGAAGCATGCGACAGTTCAGGGCAAAAAAATACATGTTTAATGTGTATGGTAATGGTGAAATGGTAAAAAATTTGTATTCAACAGTATGCTGCCTATTTTTAACAGAAGGCATTTGTTAGAGAACCTCTGTGAAAATACTGAAGACAATCGGATTTTCAGCCAGATTCCAAATCTTTCTATGCTCAAAAGAACTCCTATGGAAGCATATCCTTCTGAATGCCTTGAGTCTGGAAAGTCCTTGATGAATCATTCAACACTTAAACATCATATCAAGTCTCACACTGGATGCAGTGCCTATCAGTGTAAGCAATGTGGAGAAGCCTGTAGTCCCTTTTACCTCAGTGCTGTTGTGGGAACTCTTACTGGAGAGAAATCCTATGAATGTAAGGAATACGCCAAAGACTTCTGCTCTTCAAACCTCACTATACATAAGAGAATTCATGGTGGAGAGAGGCTTTATGTATGTAAGGACTGTGGGAAAGCCTTTCGTCATTCTTCATACCTCACTATACATATGAGAACTCAGATTGGTGAGAGACCTTATGAATGTAAGGAATGTCGCAAAGCCTTTAGTTTTTCCTCAAACCTCACCAGACATATGAGAACTCACAGTGGAGAAAGACCGTATGAATGTAAGGAATGTGGGAAAGCTTTTAGTCTGTCCAGAAACCTCACTAGACATATGAGATCTCACAGTGGAGAGAGACCTTATGAATGTAAGCAATGTGGCAAAGCCTTTTTTCAGTCCTCACACCTCACCAGACATATGAAAACTCATAGCGGAGAGAGACCTTATGAATGTAAGGAATGTGGGAAAGCTTTTAGTCTGTCCAGAAACCTCACTAGACATACGAGAACTCACAGTGGAGAGAGAACTTATGAATGTAAGCAATGTGGCAAAGCCTTTCATCGGTCCTCACACCTCACTTTACATATAAGAACTCACAGTGGTGAGAGGCCTTATGAATGTAAGGAATGTGGCAAAGCCTTTAGTCGTACCTCAAACCTCACTGTACATATGAGAACTCATTGTGGAGAGAGACCTTATAAATGTATGGATTGTGGCAAAACCTTCTGTTACTACTCAAGCCACGCTATACATATGAGAACTCACAGTGGTGAGAGGCCTTATGAATGTAAGGAATGTGGCAAAGCCTTTCGTCGGTCCTCACACCTCACTTCACATATAAGAACTCACAGTGGTGAGAGGCCTTATGAATGTAAGGAATGTGGCAAAGCCTTTAGTGAGTCTTCAAACCTCAGGGCACATACTAAAACTCACAGTGGAGTGAGACCTTATAAATGTATGGAATGTGGCAAAACTTTTTGTCGGTCCTCACACCTCACTGCACATATGAGAACTCACAGTAGTGAGAGGCCTTATGAACGTAAGGAATGTGGCAAAGCCTTTAGTCAGTCGTCACTAACTACAGATGTAAGAACTCTCAGTGGTGAGAGGCCTTCTGAATGTAAGTAATACAGCAAAGCCTTTTGTCAGTCCTCAAACCTCACTAGACATATAAGAGTTCACAGTGGAGAGAAGCCTTCAGTAAGGAATGTGGGGAAGCCTTTAGTTAGTCTTCAGTGCTTGCTGAACATAAGTAACTGCACAGTGGGAGAGACTATGAGTGTAAGGAATGTGGGAAAGCATTTAGTTATTTTTTATCCCTCAATGAGTACGTAAAATATCACCCTGGAGGTAAAAACACTTTGAATATATGGAATGTGGGAAATTCTGTTGTGATTCCTCAAACCTCACCATAAAAATTCGTGGCTTACAAAAGCTTTATAAATGTAAGGAGTCTGTCCTTGTGTATGAATTATTATGATGAAACAACCAACAGTGAATTGCAGACATTCACTTCACCCTTCAAGCTCCTACAAATAAGGTCAGTCTCCTACCAGAACAACCCAGATCTTCATTGTCTCTCACAAATGAAAATTTCTCAAGTTGTCCATAAATTATCTATTATGGTTGTTGGGTTTTTTGAAGTTTGCATCCAAACCATATTTCTATGTTGCCTTTTTAGTTCTAGATCTTTTTCCTCTGTCTTACACAGAGTATTCTGCTTGTCTTGTAAAATGTTAAAACGTTCAGTATTCTGATATAGTCAAACCTGTGACAGCCGAAACCTGTGGAAGTCAGAAACTTGTCAGAGAAGAAAAACTCACGGGTTGTTTATGATGTAGGATTCTTAATAGAGAGCAAAAGGAAAGTGGTAGGCACACAATCAAAAGTAGAAAAATGCAAGACCTGGTAAAACAGGGCACTCCCATCACATTTCAGCTCTCACAGGTTTTACTGTATTTGTTTTATTAAGATTTTATTAGTTTGTCTTCTGTATTTTTTGTAACATAGACGTTGAGTCTTGTACAGTTCTAATAGAAATGTAATGCATGTCAAAGACGTAATGTAAAATATTTTAGTAGCCATATTAGACATTTAAAGAAAGAAATGTGAAAGTTTTAATAAAAATTCTATTTAACCTAATATATCCGTTTATTCTCAAGGTAAAATTATAAATGAAAATTACTAACTCAATATAAATTTATTTGACGTTTTACATTTCCTTATTTTGTACTCCATCTTTCAGAATCCAGAAACAACACGTTTAATAAATTTTATTGTTGAAAAGTTGCTTCACAATCCCAGGTTACTGGAAGCATACTTTTCCAATAATTGAATCATTGTTACGTTTAAATTAATAAAAATTAAAGTTTATTCAGTTTCTTTGTTGCACCAACCACATAGATTGTAGACACAACCCTATTAGTATTTGAATGCAAAAGAAGTCCCTGGATCACTTTCCTGTTCCAGATCTGGAATCAACCCTTTCTCTCCAAACCTCTGGTTCCTTTTAAAAACCAAGGTGTGTACAATACATGGGCTTGGTGGTAAACCAAAACCTGTTACCATTGAGTCAATTTTGTCTCGGTCTGTCAGTGAGTACGTAAAGTACATAATTTTTTACATCATAAATTTATAGTTTTATTCCTAAAACAAATGTAAGGTTATATATATATATATATATAGACATGTATCTATAAGAAATGGTGCTGGACAATGTTAAATACACAAAGTGGTGCCAGACAATGTTAAGTAGGCAAACTAGACTTTATTCAGCCTGTTGCGATAGGAGAGAGACCTCAGGATAAGTCTGAGTTCAACTCTAAAGGGCAAGGTGAGGCAAGAGGTTTCTTTTATGAGTTCTGAGTGTCATGGGGCACTGGAAACTTACTAATTTGAAGGTGGAAAGCAAAAATACAGCAGGAAGATGGGTTTTAAGCAAGAGATCCATTGGTTATCAGAAATGTTTGCTCACAGATGATTTATTAGGCTGAAGCAAGGAGCATTCATGGGATAAATGTAAATGGGCAAATCTTGTCACTTATATTTGCATCTGTTTTCCCTTTTAATAAAAATTTTGGTTCCTAATAATATTCAAATAGTTTCAATGTTATAATACTAATACAGCTGATTAAAAAACTTGTTTTGTGAAGTACTTTTTCACCTTTGTTTTTGTACTTACTGGTTATACATTTACATTAAGGATATTAACACAAGATTACTGTGCTTAAACATTGGCTTGAGCACAAACTCTGGTGCATGGTATGTGATCATTTTGATATTGTTTGCTGCCATCGAGTTGACTCCAGCTTATGGGGACCTTATGTTGTTGTGTGCCATGGAGTCGATTCCAATTCTTAGCAGCTCCATGTTACAGAGTAGAATTTCCCCATAGGGTTTTCTTGGCTGTAATCTTTTCAGAAGCAGTTTGCCAGGCTTTCTCCGATGGAGCTGCTGGGTGGGTTTGAACTGTCAACCACTTGTTTAGTAGCCAAGTAATATTGTGCCTCCAGGGCTCCTTGATCTCCTGCATAACAGAACAAAATGTTGCCCAGTTCTGCACCATCTTCATGGTCATTATGTTTGAGTAGTGCCTTCCAACCCATGGGGCTCATCTTTCAGCACTATATCCGTGTTCTGTTGTAATCTATAAGGTTTTATTTACTGATTTTCTAAAATAGATTGCGAGGTCTTTCTTCCTAGGGTGTTGAAGTTGGTAAGCTCCACTAATGCCTGTCCACCATGGGTGACGCTGCTGGTATTTGAAATACTGGTGGTACAGAATCCTGCATCAGCAACATGCCAGCCACCACAGTATGTCAAACTCGAAAATGAGCAGTGGTAGTTTAATATGTTATTTTATTTCTGTTTACATTTAATGTTAAGGTTTGCTTTCAGTTTGAATTATTCCTTTAATGTATAAAACTTTCATGATTCAAAACTGAAGACTATATGAAAACATATTCAGTAGGCTGACTTCCGTCTATAGTACCTGTGTTCTGTGGATATCACCACCAATTCCTAACCATTTCCATTTTGTTTCCTGTGTAACCTTTCAGTGTTTCTCAGAAATATTCCTCCTCCAGAATACATGAATACATACATGAATGTATGTTGCTTATTTATCATGTTTTCTTCACATAAATGTACTTTTTCCCACATAACAATATATACTGGACATTAATCTATCTCAGTTCATAGTATAGAGGAGGCCAAGGCACAGATGTTGGCAAAGACTGCACGTGTGTGGTAGAGCTCAGGAGGGCTGGTGGACACTTCTGTCTCAGAATGTCCTTGATCAGTGTTGTGTGCTGTTGAGTCCATTCCAGCTCTGTGACAATATAGGACATAGTAGAAATGCACCATAGGGTTTCCTAGGCTGTAATCTTTACAGGACCGGATCTCCAGGTCTTTTCTCCTGTAGCATTAGGTGGGTTCTAACCACTGACCTTTCATTGAGCAGCAGAATGGTTAAACTCCACCACTGGGGCTCCTTCCTTGGCTAATAACCATGTGTAAATATCCTGATAGTTCACCTAATAGGACCTTGTTAGGCAGTGCTCATCAAATGGTGAAGAAAAGAACCAAACCCCTTAAAGTCTTTAGTTTTTCTTTTTGCATGTAGATGGAAAATTTTCGTTTTTAAACATATAGTTCAAATTTTTAATATCAGTGATACAATTCCTAGCCCTTTAAAGCTCTTCTGTTTATGGACAAGTATTTTATGGGGCCTAGTCTCTGAAGGAACCCTGGTGGCACAGTGGTTAAAGCACTCTGCTGCTAACCAAAAGGTCAATGGTAGGAACTCACCAGCTGCTGTGTGGGAGAAAGATGTCACAGCCTTGGATAACTGGATATCCATCTGCAAAAAACTGAAAAAAGACCCATACCTCACACCATGCACAAAAACTAAAAATTGATCAAAGACTTAAATATAAAATTGGAAATGATAAAGATAATGGAAGAAAAAAATTCGGACAACACTAGGAGCCTTAATACATGGCATAAACACAATACGAACCATAAGTAACAACGCAAAATCACCAGAAGAGAGACTAGATAAATGGGAGCTCTGAAAAATCAAACACACTCATCAAAAGACTTCACCAAACGAGTCAAAACACAACCTACGGACTGGGAAAAAAATTTTGGCTATGACAAATCCGATCAGCATTTAATCTCTGAAATCTACAAGATACTGCAAAACCTCAACAACAAAAAGACAACCCAATTAAAAAATGGGCAAAGGATATGAACAGGCACTTTGCAAAAGAAGATATTTAGGCAGCTTACAGACACATGAAGAAATGCTCACAATCATTAGCCATTACAGAAATGCAGATCAAAACTACAATGAGATATCATACCACTGCAACAAGGCTAGCCTTGATCCAAAAAACACTAAATAATAAATGCTGGAGAGGTTGTGGAGAGACTGGAACACTTATACACTGTTGGTGGGAATGTAAAATGGTACAACAAATTTGGAAATCGATTTGATGCTTCCTTAAAAAGCTAGAAATAAAAGTACCATATGATGCAGCTATTCTGCTCCTTGGAAAATATCCTAGAGAAATAACAGCCATAACACAAATAGATATATAAACACCCATGTTCATTGCAGCACTGTTCATAATAGCAAAAAGATGAAAACAACCTAGGTGCCCATCAGTGGACGAATGGATAAAGTATGGTACATCCACACAATGGAATACCACACAACAATAAAGAACAACTATGAAGCCGTGAAACATAACATGGAAGAATCTGGAGGTCTTTATGCTGAGTGAATTTAGTTACAGTAGGACAAATATTGTATAAGACCACTATTATAAGAACTCAAGAAAAGGTTTAAACACAGGAAATATTCTTTGATGGTTACGAGGGTGGGGAGGGAGGGTGAGGGTTATTTACTAACTAGATAGTAGACAAGAATTATGTTAGGTGAAGGGAAGGAAAGCACTCACTACAGGGGAAATGAGCACAATTGGACTAAACCAAAGCTAAGAAGATTCCTGAATACAATCAAACACTGAGAGTATCGGGTAGGGATCTGGGGCCCATGCTTTCAGGGGACATCCAGGTCAATTGGCATAACAAAGCTTATTAAGAAAATGTTCTTCATTCTACTCTGGTGAGAGGCGTCTGGGCTCTTAAAAGCTTGAAAGCGGCCATCTAGGATGCATCAATTGGTCCCAACCACCTGGAGTAAAGGAGAATGAAGAACACCAAAGACACAAGGTAAGTATTAGCTCAAGAGACAGAAAGGGCCATACAAATCAGAGACTTCATCAAACTGAGACCAGAAGAACTAGATGGTGCCCAGCTACCACCAGTGACTGCCCTGACAGGGAACACAGCAGAGAGTCCCAGATGGAGCAGGAGAAAGGTAGGATGCAGAACTCAAATTCTAATAAGAAGACCAGATTTGGTGGTCTGAGACTGGAGGAACCCGGGAAAGCATGGCCCCTGGATTTTCTATCAGCCCAGAACTAAAACAATTTCTGAGGCCAACTCTTCAGACAGGGATTGGACTTGACTGTGAGACATAAAGTGATACTCATGAGGAGTGTGCCTCTTAGCTCAAGTAGATACAAGAGACTAAATGGGCAGGTTCTGTCAGCAGGTGAAATGGGAAGGCAGGGTTAGGAGCTGATTGAATGGACATGGGGAATCGGGCAGAAAGGAGGAGTGTGCTGTCACAGTATCGGGAGAACAATTAGGGTCACATAACAATGTATAAATTTTTGAATGGGAGATTAACTTGAAATGTCAACTTCATTTAAACTACAACAATAAAAAAAATCGGATTTAGTGCCTTGGAAACCCTATGGAACAATTCTGCTCTGCCCTTAAGGGTCTCTTTGAGTCAGAATTGACTCAACGGCAATGGGTTTGGTTTTTCTTTTGCATTAGTCTCTTTGAGCCCCCACCCATCTATCCCTTCATTGTACTGTGGTGGCTTACATGTTGCTGTGATGACTGGAAGCTATTCCAGCGGTATTTCAAATACCAGCAGGGTCACCCAGGTGGACAGGCTTCAGTTGGGTTTCTAGAGTAAGACTAGGAAGAAATGCCTGGCAATCTATTTCTGAAAATTAGCCAGTGATATCCTTATGGATCAGAACAGGATATTGCCCAACAGGAATCATACATGCCAATGAACATGAAGATTGCACAGTACCGAACAAATTTTCACTCTATTATACATAAGGTGTCCATGAGGTGGAGCCTAATGGGCAGCTAATAACTATGAGAGGCACAGACAGAAGGGGTTGGGATTTCTCAGCCACAGTTCTGCAGTTCTGACTGGCTCCATTAAATGATGTTGTTGATCCTCCTAATCCTTCTTAAATCCTGTGTCTAAGCAGGGTGTTTTTCTCATGGAGTGTCTGAAGAGGACAAAGAGGGAGACATTGAGATTTTTTAAATCTCTGTTTTCGTATGCCTAAATGTAGCAATGGGGCCCTGTTGGGGCAGTGGTTAAGAGCTCAGCTGGTCACCAGAAAGCAGTTTGAATCCACCAGCTGCTCTTTGGAAACCCTGTGGGGCAGTTCTCTGTCCTGTAGGGTTGCTGTGAGCAGGTATGGGCAAAGGGTTTTTGGTTTTTTAAAGGTAGTTAGAATAACAACCCCAAAGTACTATAAGATTGATCTTTTCTCTGCCAGTAGAGTTGAGACTTTCAGTTTTAATCCCTGGGTTCCGATTGTGCAGATGTAAGAGTGAAACCCCACCTGGCCCTGATAGGACCCGTTTCTTAGCGGGTGATTTAAAGTGCTGCAGAGGCCCTCAGCTTTTGAAATAATGTGGATTTGATCGTTTGCATTGGAGTCTAGACTAAATTATCTCTGACCTCTGGAGTCCTCAGGTCTTTGCCCATGGAGAGAGGAGGGGTCAAGGACCCCATAGGAGGGTTCCTAGTGGGTGAGATGTGAGTCTTGGACCCCTTTTCCCTCGTGGCTGCTAAATCCCCTTTCTACCTGGGGACCTCTGTATTTTCCCTGACAGAGACCTTATGGGGTCAAGTTCCTCCCAACCCGTTAACTAGGTGACCATGAGCAAGT